ATTATTGGGATGTAAAATTGGCTCCCTCCCACACACATATTTGGGTCTCCCACTCTGCATCTCTAAGCCTAATATTGAAGACTTTGTAACCATGATGAAAAGGATAGAAAACAGACTGCTCAGTTGCTCCACTATGCTCTCCACTGGTGATAAACTCACACTATTTAAATTAGTATTCACCAGTATGCCCACTTTCTTCATGTTCTCTGATGATACCAAAAACTATGATCAAACAAATCAATATCTACCTGAAACAATGCTTCTAGAGGAAATATGGTACTCAAGAGACTGACACTACTCTTGTTGCTTTGAGAAAGTGTGTAAACCCAAATCTCATTAGGGTTTTGGGGTGCTGGACTTAGCCACTCACAATCAAGCTATGCTTATGAAATATTTGCACAAATTCATGAATAAGGAAGACATACCTTGGGTCAACGTCATTTGGGAGACATATTATCAAGATTCATTACCTGGAGATCACATGGTAGGATCATTTTGGTGGAAAGCAGTTCTGAAGCTTCTTCCATTATACAAGGATCATGCAATTTGCAAGGCAAACAAAGGAGATACCACTCTGTTCTGGACAGATAACTGGAATAGACAATCACACTCTGCAGCAGATTTTCTGAGCTCTTCTCTTTTGGTCTGGACAAACACATTACAATGACCAATTTGCAACCACATGAGGATATCAGCCATTTATTCTACAGACCTCTCTCTTATGAGGCCTATACCCAATACAATATGCTTCTGCAGATGATTAACAGGAGAGTGAACACTGAAGATAAAGATCAATGGAAATATTCTTGGTCTTCTCCCCAGTACTCCTCCAGGAAAATGTACCAACTGCTTATGGGTAAAAGCACAACTCATATCATCTTAAAAAATCTTTGGAGAACTGCATGTAGATTGAGGCACAAGATCTTTTACTAGCTTCTTCTGCAGGATAGACTCAACACCAGGAACCTTCTTCACAGAAAAAACATGTTCTTACAAGATTACAGCTGTGCCTTATGCTCAACTCGTGTTCACCTTTTTTGAAATTGTCCATTCGCTCTCTTATGTTGGGATCACCTGATTTCAAATGAACAGAGAGGATTTTCTGCCTATGGTGAGATTTTACTGACAATAAGGCATCTGCCTCAAGAGATTGCACTGGATATTGTGGTAATGGGCAGTTTGGGAATTCGGTCAGTTAGGAATGACAAGATTTTCAGATCGGCTGCTCCACATTTGAACACTTGAAAATACTATCTCAAAGGACTCTAGGCAGTGCAGCTACGAGCAAAGCAGAACAGGGTAGAGCTACTTGTTAGTTGGATAGAACAACATCTTTAACTTGATCATGTACTTTTTCCCTAGAACTGGTCTAGGCTAGTTTTACTTTGATTGCTCTCTTGTAAAAAAAATAATTAATAAAAATACCATAGAACAATTGTTGTACGGTGTCGGCTCAAAGAAAAATACAAAAAACAAAAAGAGCGCTTTATTATTGGGAAGGAGGGAATGCCATGTTTTCTCTTGATCCTGTCCATCTCAACTACAAGCAAAAACAGGTCAAATTTTGTGTATGCATAATCTGCACCGCACCCAAAATCAGAATGGTTTATTCCTTATTTATTCATCACCAAATCTGTTGGCGATTACACAAGTACAGACACGACAGGGAAAAAACCCGCAATACAGAGATGCCTCCCTAGACTCGGCAAGAACAGAGACACAACTGTAGCATACTTTTAGGTTGCAGAACTCGCACACACATGAACCAAAGTACCCGAGTACTCAACCGGAGATCTCGATGGCCTTCACCTCGGGCTTCTTGACCTCGGCCTTGGGCACGGTGACGGTGAGCACCCCGTTCTCCAGCCCGGCCTTCACCTCCTCCACCTTGCCGTCCTCGGGGAGGCGGAAGCGCCGCACGAACTTGCCGCTGCTGCGCTCTACGCGGTGCCACTTGTCGTTCTTGTCCTCCTTCTCCCTGCTCCGCTCGCCGCTGACGACGAGCACGTTGCCGTCCTCCACCTCCACCTTAACCTCCTCCTTCTTCACGCCAGGGAGGTCGGCCTTGAAGACGTGCGCCTCGGGGGTCTCCTTCCAGTCCATCCGGGCGTTGGCGAACGCGGCCGTCTCGCTGCTGCCGCCTGAGATCGCCGGGACGATGGAGCGGAACGTGTCAAAGGGGTCCGCCCAGAGGTCGGCGAAGGGGTCAAACACGTTGCTCCGCCTCACGATCGACATCGTCGGCGTTGATTGCTTCGGCTTGTGCGCTCGGAAAAGTCTGTATCGGATCGTAGGTAGGAATAGGGTGCTGTCTGCTTTTGCTTGACACTGATGCGAGTTGGGATGGAGGGCGATGGACTGAGGCCAGCTACTTATAGCGTCGCAGTTGCTGCTCTTGAAGCATCTCGAGGACTCTCCAATGGACGAGAGTGGTTCTCTCTCCCTTTTTCAGCTTGGCTGTGAGCCATTTTTCTTTCTTTCTATTTCCAGCCCTGGAAGGGTCTACCGTCTTCCAAAGGACTCTCGTACTTGCCTTAGTGGGCCTTCTCCTTGTTTTTGTCATTAATTGTACAATTCCAGCATGTCTAGAATGTGCTATGGGGCCGTTTCAAGAAGGGGACATGGAAGACACAGAGCTAAATAGAGGGCAAACGCGGGGAAATACACTTTGGTTTCTGGTTGTATATGCATCCTATATAAGGATTTTTTTAATATTTTAATAAAAAATCAAAATAGATAAGAACTATTTTGGTAAAACACTTGACTTACTTTTGCACTGGTATATAAATCTCGACGAAAAAAAAAGTTGACCTCACAGCAAAAAAGACAAAATTTATTTGCTATTATAGGTCACTATTCACACTATATTAGCCAAAATTTTGTCTTTTTTGAAAAGAAGTCAAAGGATATATTTTTTTGTGGATTCTTTTTCTCACGGGTACACTAGAAGGTCAAGTTTATTTCAAAAATATTTTCAGGAATTTTTGACTTTTCGTTGAATTACTAAATATTTTTTCTCATATAGGGTGCATATGTCCCCATAGACCAAAAGTTCCCCTCCTCAAACGCGCACCCTCAATGGGGTAGCGAACATTTATGAATTCATGAACATCATTTGATCCATGAACAATTTCTCAAGTATACAAATATTTAAATTCATATTTCCTTTTGGATTCATGAACAGTTTTTCAAATTCACATTTTTTTAAATTCATGAACATTTCATTTTGAATTTCATAAAAAATGAAAAATTAAAATTAAAAACAGGCGCAAGCGCTCCCACAATGCGCCGACCCAAAGTGTCTGGGAGGTACTATCTCTGTCCTGGTTTATTGGTCCTTTTTATATTTTATGCCAAAATTTGATCATAGATTTAACTGAGAAAATGTTAATGCATGTCATGAAAAATCATATCATTGGATTCGTATTTAAACATAGATTCCAATGATACAATTTTTTGTGATATGTATTAATATTTAGTTAATTAAATCCATGGTCAAAATTTGACACAAAATACTAAGAGAACCAATAAACCAGGACGGAGGTAGTACGCGTTTGCTAGCCTCTCATCGCCCTATGCGGTGACTAGGAGGTCCCGAGAAGGAGAATCTATTTTGCCGACCTAGGTGTTTCTTTTTAGATTCATTTATTTAAAAAGTTTTATCTTTTGAATTGTGTGTCGTTGAATTTTTCGTGTCAAGATTTTTGAGACTAGATCCCATGTTAATAGGTTTTGATTAACTTTTTCAGAAAAAACTAAACCCAAAAAAGGCAACCAAAGAAAATAAAGAAGAAGAAAATGGAGCCCAAAAGTATGGTTGTAGATTTACGAAAAAAGAAATATTTTTTGTGTTTCCCGCTGAAGCAAAACTGTGCTTCTTATAGAAGCACAATTTTTTTCCTGTCTGAAAAAATAGTTGCGCTTTTCGTGGAAGTAAATTTGTGCTTTCACTAGAAGTAAATATGGGCTTCTCGTGGAAACACAGGTTTTCTTTTCAAGAAATACAGCGTGCTTCTCATGAAAATACATAATTTTGTTTTCCTTTTCAAGAAGGATAATTGTGCTTCTCGCAAAATCTAATATGTGCTTCCATGACAAACAAATATGTATTTCTCGAAGCATAGTTGTGCTTCGCAAAACAAATTGCTCCAAATAAAAATAAACTTCTCAAAAGCGAAAAGTCGAGAAAAACTAAAAAAATCCATCTAAAACCTATAACGCGTACAGAAAAATAAAGAAGACCGAAATCCAGAGAAAACACCCGTCACGCGGCACGTGACATGACTGGGCACATTATTCAACATGCTCACATGCCAATAAATTTACCTTTGTGGCAGCCCCACAGCGGGTAACCCTTAGAGCAACTCTAGCAGACCCTGCAAAAAGTCCTGACCCACAAAATAACCGTCAAAATGCGGGTCGGCACAAAAAATCCTGCCCGAACAGACCCCACAAACGCGGCTGGCCCGCAATTTTTTTTGAGTGGCAAGGCAAAAACTTGACCCCAACCCGCGAATATGCGCCCCCCCCCCTCCCCGCCCCGTCGGTGCCCTGCATATAGCAGGAGCAGTTTGTTGGGAGGACATTTCGCCCGTGCTTTTCCCCACCAACCACCTCCTCCTCTCCCCCTCGCCAAGCCGCCGGGCCACCGCCCAAGATTCCGGCGAAAGTAGCCGGCGGGAGCACGCCGAAAGGCCGCCACACACACGAGGTTGCCCTCCACCCCCCTGCGTCGCCAGGCCGGAAAGTTGCAGATCTGCGGCCCTTCATCGCAGGCGGCCGGATTTGGCTTTTCCGGCTGCCGGTAGCTGCGCGAAGCGATGGAATGGTCGGGGAGCATCTCGAGCCCCGGCAAAGTCGTATCGCCGCATGCAGGTGTGGGTTCGTCCTCTCGCCGCCGCCGACGGTTTGCGGGCATGGATTCGGCAGGCCGTCCGCCGGGCTCGGCGCTTGCGCAGAGGCTCTGTGGCTCGCCGATGCCGCTCATATAGTGCGACGACTGCACGCGGATGGTTTTACGGCTAACTTCGGGCACGCCGAAGCACCCCGGATGGGTGTTCTTCAAATGTGTAAACGACGGGGTACGTGATGTTTTTATTCGGCTCATTTCGATAGCTCACTCTTTTGTTCAATTGCGTTAGTTCATTTCGAACATCGTCATGCGTGTAGGAAGATGGGTGCTCATTTTGGTTTTGGGATGGTGAATACATTGATTTATTGATAGAAAGAAACTTAATAGATGTTCGTGCGCTCCTTAGTAGAATCGAAGGCAATGATGCGGCTGCATGTACAACTAGAACGGAAGCAACGTCTATTTCTTTTGAACCAAAGATGAAGAATGAAGAATGCAAAATCAAGAATCCACGGATCAACAATGAATGCATGGAGAAGATATTGGTCCAACTAGTGAGAGCAGTTATGAAAGTTGGAAATCTTTTAAAATGCATACTTGTGGTTCTTGTTTTCTTTGGTCTTACTATTCTATCAAAGATTTGGTGATGTCCTATGTATCCAATGTTATTGAAAAAGCAAAGAAATGCATTATGTTGTGTCAAATTGAGGTGCAAATTTAGGTTTTGCGGGGCGAGGGGAGCGGCGCCAGATCAGACCCCGCAAAACCGACCCGTAAAAGAGGATATTCGCAGAAGATGCTCTTTTACGGGTCGGCTTTGTGGGGTCTGTCTCTGCGGCCGTTCGCGCCGGCTTGCAAAACCGTTTTCCGCAAACTGCAAACGCGTGCAGGTCGGCCGGATGCGGGGTCTGCTAGAGATGCTCTTAGACACTTGTTCCCCTACTATGCCACTCACCGCAGCAAGGAAATACGGCTACCTCTTGCCTGCAGCTAGATTTTTCTTAGACACTCCTGCAATTAGAATTCTTCTTTAAGAAACACATGTAATTTTAATCATGATCATAACAATTACATGTACGCTGATTTGGACTTAAAATCTAAAAAAAATACAAAGTAACTCCTAAAGCTAAGAATTACAATGAAATCTCTTGAAAACGTCCTCTTCGTTGTATTAATCTCTGCTCGAAGAAATACTCCATAGGCTTCGGTAAAGAGGCTGCAATTCGACTGGAGCAAAGATGTTGTCACTCTTTCACGCGCACGAAATTACCAATAATGGTTTTTAAAAGCGCCTTGAGCCCATATAAAAAGGTGGGAAGCCTTGACCGATGAACGTATTTGGGCCGGGGAAAATCCCCTAAAAGTGCAGGTTGTCGAATCACTATATCTTCACCATAATATCGATGAAAATTTTCACCTACATAAGAATCAGACTAACAAAAAAAGCTTGACACGGTATAAACTCATCAGGTTCGAATAATCGGATCTGCAAGGAAAGAAAACTCTCTAAAATCATGGCACCACCAGAAGAACAAGAGGAAATTTATTCTTACAGAACTATGATGATCACTAGAGGTTGACGAAGAATATAGAGGTCTTGAAGATCCGAGGTCCCCCACCTCTCAGCGCCAAGATGAAAGCTAGATGCGAGGGTAGGGATGAAAATGGAGTGGAAAACTTTTCATTTTTCCGAAAGAAAAATGAAAACGGAAACTGAAATTTGCAAAGCAAAAATGGGATTTTTTTTATGCAGAAACAGAAACAAAAATGAAACGGTGTTTTTCGATGGAATAGACGTGAAAACAGAACTTTTCGCTTCCATGAATATGGAATTTCTGTTTTTACTATAGGATTATGGCTATTTTTTAAAAACTTGGCTCATAGCTGCTTTGTAGTCCAACCACTAAACAACACACAATAATTACCACACACGTACTCAACGAAACCCTATACATGTATCTTCAAGTTTTAATTGTAACTAAAAGGAGATAATGTAATGAACTTCTGCTGCCAAAACCGATTGAGCTTGTGGGCTTGTACATTCCCTCATCTAAATATCCTGCGCGTTCACAAGAGAAAAGATAATTCTAGAGAATCAAGATTTTCTTAGACTGGATAGTAGAGGTGTTTGTACTTATACTCCAAGCCATGATGGTATTCCCCAAAGAAAAGTCTTAAGTTTGGACTTCGTTAGATAAAGTGACACGTTTGAGCTAATATGTGGGTGTGTGTACTGAAAAAATAAGTATTTTTCAAGGAAAACAGATCAACGAAAACTGAAGGTATTTCTAAGAAAAAACAGAGAACTGAAGGTGAGAAGAAGCACACAATCAACATTCAGGGCATTGATCATTTTAGAGCCACAATTAGTGAAATCTGATGGTGAGACAGAGGTCGCATTCAGCGTATCGATCACCTAAAATGCATTCGGTGTATTGGTTATGTTTCAGACCTGCATCGTTTTCTTACTCAATTCTTAAGCCAGCCGCCAACCATGAAGAGAGGGAGTAGATCCCTACTGCCACCAATGCCAGCCGGGCTTTGTCGCGGCGGCGGCGAGGGAGAGAGGTCGGGGAAGACGAGTGGGTGCACACTAGGGATTCCCCGAGGACGCTTGCGGGGGAGGCGGGTGTTTGTCTTAAGAAAAATCCATTGGATAGTAGATTTCCAAAAGTCTTAAGTTTTAACTTCACTACTCCTTCCGTTCCTATATTTGTCTTTCAAGAGATTTCAACAAGTGACTACATACGTTGTAAAATGAGTGAATATACACTTTAAAATATGTCTATATACACGCGTATGTGGTAGTCAACATTTATCTTTCTAGAGATTTCAACAAGTGACTACATATGTTGCAAAATGAGTGAAGAGATTTCAACAAGTGACTACATACGTTGCAAAATGAGTGAATCTACACTCTCAAATATGTCTATATACACTGGTATGTGGTAGTCCATTTGAAATCTCTAAAAATAATATTTAGAAACGGAGGGAGTAGATGATATGTCACGTTTGAGTTAATATGTGTGATGATATGGGTGTGTGTACACTTTTTTTTTTGTATTTTTCAAAAAAGAAAAAGATCAAAGAAAACTGAAGGTATATCTCAAGAAAGAAGAAAGAAAACTGAAGGTGAGATAGAAGTCATACAATCAACATTCAGGGCATTCAGGGTATTGATCAGTGTAGACTCACGATTAATGAAAGCTGAATGTAAGACAGAGGAGGACATTCAGTGTATCGATCATTCTTTAAGCAGATGTTTCTGTATAAGAAAGCAGTTTTCCGTGTCGAAGAAAACCAATTCTGCTCTTTGTGTATGCAAAGTCTGCACTCCACTCAAAATCAGAACAATTTATTTCTCATTTATACATCGCCAAATCTGTTTGACGATTACACAAGTAGAGACACAACAGGGAAAAGAAACGCAATACAGAGACGCCTCACCAGACTCGGCAAGAACAAAGACACAACTGAAGCACACTTTTAGGCTGCAGAACTCGCACACACATGAACCAGACTGGGTCCGACCCGAGTACTCAACCGGAGATCTCGATGGCCTTCACCTCGGGCTTCTTGACCTCGGCCTTGGGCACGGTGACGGTGAGCACACCGTTCTCCAGCCCGGCCTTCACCTCCTCCACCTTGGCGTCCTCGGGGAGGCGGAAGCGCCGCACGAACTTGCCGCTGCTGCGCTCCACGCGGTGCCACTTGTCGTTCTTGTCCTCCTTCTCCCTGCTCCGCTCGCCGCTGACGACGAGCACGTTGCCGTCCTCCACCTCCACCTTGACCTCCTCCTTCTTCACCCCTGGAAGGTCGGCCTTGAAGACGTGCGCCTCGGGAGTCTCCTTCCAATCCACGCGAGCGTTGGCGAACGCGGCCGTCTCGCTGTTGCCGCCTGAGATCGCCGGGACGATGGAGCGGAAGGTGTCGAAGGGGTCCGCCCAGAGGTCGGCGAAGGGGTCGAACACGTTGCTCCGCCTCACGATCGACATCGTCGGCGTTGATTGCTTCGGCTTGTAGCTTGGGGGGAAATTATGTATTTGATCGTAGGTAGGAATGGGCAGGCTGTCTGCTTTTGCTTGACACTGGCTTGAGTTGGGATGGAGGGCGATGGGACTGAGGGCAGGTACTTATAGCGTCGCAGTTGCTGCTCTTGAAGCATCTCGACTACTCTGCAGTCGATGAGCGTTTGGTCATGTTTCGCTTTTCAGCTGGCTCCACGAGCTTCTCCTTGTTTCTGGAGTACTCTCCTGCTTTGGTGTTAGTGGGCCTTATCCAGTATCTTTCTCTGTACAGCTCCAGCAGCACCTTCAGCGAGCACTCTGGAATGTGATGGAGCCTTTTCTAGGATACGATACGACATGGAGAACTCGAGATGCCTCAGGAGCGCACCCAGCATACGAGTCGCACCGGAGCTGAGACAACCGAGAAGAACGTCAACCACAGACCAAAACTACGATCCAATTACTTGACTTTTTGATGAACCTGACATAAGATAGAGTCAAATCTTTTGTCCAGGTTTAACTTAAGCAATAGTAGTATGTACATACCGCTTGATTAAAAGCGACGATAGCTAAAAATGGCATCCTCGATGGAGAGTTGTTCCTAGCAGAAAAGTTGGTCTCAAAACACTTGAATCGTGTAACCATGCACTTCAATTCTAAATACCGTGTGGTTTTGGTGTCTTGAAGTTGTTTTGATCAAAGTAGTGTTGATGTGTAGTGTAGGCCTCATCACGGTCGCATGGCTCTCGCATCTCCATTTTTCCTTCGGAAATCCCCATGTAATGCTAGAGAAAAGATCAAAATACAACAGTGATTTAAATCAAACGTCCAAAAATACAATTCTTAAAAATGTTCACAAAATTTGGTTGGAGTCATAACTCTTGCCAGAAATATCAAACATTTAATAAAAACATTTTGGAAACACTGAATGATAATTTTGGGGTTTTGCCCTCTTACTAAAGTTTGAGGCTTTTAATTTCCTTCAAATAATTTTTTAAATTTATACATGATGTATGGATGCTTCTAATGCAACTACTTACGACTAACTACACTGTAATAATCTACGGTTGTGACAACACGTGTACTACTTCTTTTTTCAAGCTCCAATACCATGTAAAACAGAATCCCTTATAAAATGGTCTGAACTCTCTTCCGGAAGTAACTAACCAACAAGTACTCCTTGGGGAGTCCTGGAAGGGTCACTTTTGGGTGGGCACAAAGCGTCACTTGGCGAGCTCTCAGCCGTCGTCACGTGTCGCATGTTGAACGGTCCCTCTGGATTTTATTTTATTTATTTTCAGTACACATTTTCAGCTCTTAGATGATTTTTTGTTCAGTTTTTTTGGTTTTCTGGCTTTTCTGTTTTCCCCTGGGTTTCCTTAGATTTCAGAAAAAATATTCAAAAAAATATTTTATGCGAAAAAACATGTTTTTTTCCAGTGAGACGTACATATTTACTTCTCGCATAGGCACTCGAAAAAAAGAGAGGAAAAAACATGTTTTTTGCTACCTCAAGAGGCACAGATTTGCTTTCGCAAGAGGTGTATCTGTGCCTGCGCCTCTCAGAAAAGAAAAAAAATTGTGTTATCCTTTTATTCTTCCATGAGAGACACATATTTACTTCTCGCAAAGACACATATTTGTTGTGCCTCTCGTAAGAACAAAAAAAAATACTTATTCACGAGAGGCATAAATTACTTCTCGTGGAGGCATTGAGTCGCTTCTCGTGCAGACTCAGAGCGGAAATTATTTGTATTACTTATATCCCTAGCCGCCAACCTCCACCTGAGCTTGGTCGGTTGCCCCGACCTACTGCCATGTAGCCATCGCTACCTCTAAGAGGTACCCTTATGTATCTCTTGAGAGCTCCTCATTGGTGCCCTATGTGTCGATTTTGCCAAGCGACGATCATGTGCAAGGTCGCTCAGGCCGGCCCATTTAGCATAGCCAATCGCTTCGCTGGACCGCCGACAAAGAAAAATTGCTTGCTCGCTCAACTCTCCTTGCTCAAACATCAGTTGACAATTAAACATTTGAACGCTCTTAGTTGACCATTGACTATTCAATATTTGAAAAATTATACAGATTTGAAAAAAGTTCGTCGACTTTGCCAAAAAAAACACGAATTTGAAAAAGTTCATGCATTTAAAAAATCGATTTTTAAATTTTTTATCAATTTTGAAAAAGGTTCACAAATTTGAAAATCTTCATGGATTTGTTAAGAAAAAATCTCAGGTTTAGAAAAAGTTCATTGATTTAACAGAGTTCATAAATTTTGCAAACCCATGCACGAACCCCTAGCGCCGGTTACATGGTATTATGCAAACCCATGCCAAATAGGAAATGGTGCATCTCTTGTACTAGGCATTAGGGAAGCCCTTTCCTGCATCACTTCTACATGAGCCAACACTTGGTTCGGCCCACTAACACGTATTTTTTTTATTAAAACTTGATCCACTAATTATGTATATAATTGTTTACTTATTAGAAAAATATAATATGTCAAACAAATCACATAGTTAAAAAAAAAATTGGTATGTGAAAAAATTCAAAATTATCCATGTATATCTAAATAAAATGTTCATAATTTATGAAAATATGTTCATATTTTTTAAAAGGTTGTGGTTGAACATTATGTGTATGTCTATCTTTGAAATATGTTCATGTGTTTGAAAATTAAAAAAACATTATTGGTTCAAATAAATCATGATACATCTGCTGATATTGATTTAGTATTGTGAATGCTGATAGTGTTCCTAAGAAACATGATTATAGTTTATGAAATTTGACTTTTTTTGTGAGGAATATGAAATTTGACTTACAACAAAGTTTATATGCACAGTAATAATAAAAAAGAAAAGAAGGGAGTATGTATTGCTATTTAATTTTTTGACAAACATGTATCGCTCTTTGTGACCGTTAAGGGTTTGATCGCCGCAGATGGGCCGCCCCACTAGGAGTCGAAGCTATGTGAACGAGTAAACGAACGGTTTTCGGAAACTTCTGGAATGTTCGTCATCGGTTTTGGGAACCTTTTTGTTCTTCCTAAACTCATTTTTTATGGTTTTTTCTGTATTTCTTTTCTACTTTTCTTTTGTTGTATTACTTTTTTCCTTCAAAAGTTCACAAAATGTCGTTTTTCTTTCAAAAATGTTCAAAATCTTCAAATTTTGTGTGAAAGCACAAAAATAATCACTTTACTACAAAAATGGGATTTAAAATTGGTTCAAGATTTTGAAATAATGTGTGAAAATACAAAAGTAATCACTTTACAAATTATTTTTTGGGGATTTTAAAATTGTTCACAATAACCAAAAGTATTTTTGTTTTCCTAAAAATGTTCGGAATTACTATTTTTGTCATAATTTCGACAATTGTTGACAAAATTTCAATTTCAAAAATAATACTAATGAACATTTATGATTAGTTATTTCTTTACATCCATAATTTTTTTTTCAAATCATAAATGGTTTTTGAATTTATGAACGAATTAACGGACATATTTTAAGTCCACACACACTTTTTGAATCTGAGCTCATTTTTGAATCCACGTAATGTTCTCAATGGTTCCGGTGCATGCATGCACATACCCTCTAATGATATGTTTTGGTTTTAACGGTACGTATCATAGCACGCGATTGCTATGCAAGACTAATGAGAAGTCTACCTTGAGACCACAAAGCCATTGTTAGAGACGACAAAACGTTCGTTCTATGCACGAACGATTTTGGAAACCTTCCACATCGCTTTCGGAAAGCTTCCATATGTTTTTTTCTACTTTTTTTTGTCTTTTCTTTTACTTTGTGTTTTTCACTAGTTTTTTTTTTCATTTGTTTTATGTTTCTTTGTGATTATCATTTTTTTTGCTTTTCTTCTGTTTTTTTACTTTGTCTTTATCACTGGTTTCTTTTTGCTTTTTCTTCATATTTTAGTTTATATATTCATTTTCATAGAGTTTTTTAGGGTTTTTTTCTTCCATTTTCTGGATTTACACGAGAATTTTTTTAAATCCTCAACAATTATAAATAGAGAGAATTGTTTCCAAAAAAATATGAATTTGCATTTTGTTTTTGCATTCTTGAACAATTTTTGAATTTGCAAATCAGTTTTAGGTTTTATAAACGTTTTTCGAATTCTTCAGAAAAATTTGAATATATGAACATTTTTTAATTGGTGAGCCTAATTTAACTTTTTGAAATTTTTAAAAATTCACGAATAATTTTTAATTCCAGCACGGTTTTCTGAATTTTCGAACCTTTAAAAAAATTGAATATTTGTAAGTAATTCTTTTTTAAAATTCATGATCCTTTTTTTGGTTCCATGAACAAGTTTCAAAACCGTTAATTTTTTTAGAAATCTATGAATATATGAAGATCCTGAAAGTTTTTGCACTCATAATACTTTTCTGAAACCTCACACATTTTTTGAATTGATGAATAATTTTTGAATCTTTTATGATTCCATGAACATTTCTTGAATTCGTGAACCTTTTTTTAAATATATGAACATGTTTTGAATCTGCAAACATTATTTCAATCCTTGAACATAATGTGAATCCTATAACATGTTTTGAATCCACAAATGATTTTATAATGTCGCAATTTTTTAAAATTCATGAACATTCTGTAAATCTGCAAACTTTTTTTTCAATCCGTAAGTAAATTTTGAATCCCGTGACTTTTTGAAAAGCGCATTTGTTTTGTTTTCTGACCATTTTTTTCAGATTCCTGAACAAATTTTATATGCCTGAACCTTTGCTAACATTTTTTTGTACTTTGCGAACATTCTGTGCGTAGTAACAAAAGGCAAAAGAGCCTCTAAAAAGGGCAAAAAAGAACAGAAATCGCAGTAGATAGGGGAGCTAGCGATTCGTGGTAGGCGAGCTAGCGATGTGTGTGGCAATGGTCCAGCCCACCCAACATGCTAACGATTCAGCTGTAGGCAATCATTCGATATCTCTACTCTTGTAAAAGAGTCAACTGATGATG